CAAAGTATAACCTCATTATTCTTAATGAAATAATCTTTGTATATTAGATCAGAGATAGAATTATCATTCATTGAAACATAATTTGAATCGTATCAATTTTTTAAATTTTTCATAGTTTATTTCTATCAAGATATTTTTACAGAGGCTAATGCATGTAGAAATAAAGATTTGCATTTTAGAACATTATTTTTAGGCTAGGAGAAAATATAATTTAATCTAGATACACAAAAGTAGTTTCGCATTCAATTTATCTATGTTTAAGATCATATTTATTATTTTATTTGTCAGTAGATATAGCTTTACCACACCTGGTTTGATATTAGATTACTTAAAAGTAGATATTGTATAATAACTCAATATATAAAGCTTTCATATCGTATTACATTGGCAAGATATTATACGCTAGGTTTAAAGCATCTTTATATAGCTAAAAGATGTATTTAGTAAAAAAAATAGTATGTAATTTACAAGGCTCATCGTAATTTCCCTATCTGCTTGACAACGTTTTATTACGTATCAACATGCAAATTATTTTTATTTTTCAAAGATATTACATCAATTCTTTGCAAAATTTCAAATTTACTCTTGACCTTACATAATGACTTCTAGGAAAGTAATTAAAATATTGTTATTATAATTAGGCTATTACCTGGAAAGGTTAGATAAACCTGCTAATTCAATTTGTTGTTATAATGTAGTACTATTAATTAATATAATAAGTTACATTAATAATAAAATCAATAAACTCGGCCTTTTGCATACCTGATTTGCATCTAATCCCCAAAATTCTAATTCTTCTTCAAAAAGGGGTCCACATACATCTGTTGGGTAGTGCAACTTTCCTGTTCGATAATAATTCAATATCTGAGCAAAAACACCAGGATGTCGATCAAAAAAGTATTCATTTAAAACAGGATCGTAGTTGATTAAAGCTTCAGTCAGCCGGGACAGCCTGGTTGCGGGAATTTTCTTTAGCGTTGCTTTATAAGTCTCATGTCTTATTCCTCCGACATTTAGAATAACGCGATTATCACTATCCATTTTAACTGTTTCTTATTCCTCAATAGCCATTCTACACTGATCAGTTATGGATAGCCAAATACTTTTGAGATATCTGGACAAAAATATGAAAAATAAAACAAATTATTAAATTAAAACCAGAAAATAATATTTAAAAACAAGATACAAAGACAATTGTGAATAATGCATGCTCAAAATAGAATAACCATATAAATATCCTGCTTAAGTTAATTTTCATTGCATGTTGATGAAAATTAGAATATATCCAACTAGCTTTTAGTTTAATCACATCTGCCACTTTTGCTAGATTTGACAAACAAATAAATAAATATAAATTTTATATTTGATAATGAAGTCCTACTATTATATTTAAGACTGCTCATACATTAATTATTCTATAATTATTCACAGATTTTTAACAAACATTTAAACTTTTACTTTATTTTTGGGAACATTTAACAATAAATTTAATTAACTTATTTTCTTAAATTATCATATCTATAGTTTACTGAAATATATCATCGTAAATATGGATAGCCAAGCAGATTAAACTGTTAAATTCTGGAATAAATGTAAATTCTTCTCTTATTTAATTTTGTAGCTATAAAATTTCATAAATGCTGATAAAACAATTGCTAAAAATAAATGTATTCGATTATAATTCGTGATCTAACAAATAGTATATGATATATTAATTATATATTAAATGATATTATGCAATAAAATTTTTTAAACGGTTGATATATTTTTGGGGTATATTCTCCTGTGGTAAGGCTTTATTATAAAACCAAATAGGTAAATATTTCGTTAAAGACCTTAGTAGGTGATCCTCTTTTTGTAGCCCAATACCGATCGCTTACAGCTTAGTATAATATCAGGTAATTACTATAAATTGTGAGGAATTTAAAATTTAAGTTTAAAGTTTGATTAATTAAAATTATACTTAGGACAACTAACTTTATGAATCTAAGGAAATTAATTTCTTGTTACAGTTGATTTTTTAAATTTCCCTTAACTAAACGTTTGGATAGAATAGCCTATAATAATAAAATGAAGCATTCTTATTTGATAGTGTATTTTTAAAATCCTTATAATGCAATGAATGTTAGATTATTATTAAATACCTTTTATAAATAAATCATCCTTATTACATTCGTGGTTTAAACAGCAAAATTTGAGGCCTTATAATCTACCTATTATCTGTATTTCAAAGTCATTTTGCATCCACCAAGATCCTTCTGTGAGATTATTTTTAAATCAATACAAACGGGTTATTAGATCTCCACTTAGACCCAGAATAAATTTTTAAGACATCCTATATAGCATAAGGTGAGATTTAATTTTCTCAAAATTATATGATTATGCCTCAATTTGGCAATAAACTTCACATAGATTTGCTCCACAGAGGCATTCTCATCAAGAGTGGACTGCAAGTTTGACCTTGCTTAATGCACATAACCACCACCAGCTGGACTCAAAACAAGGTAATGCAGCCTTCATTAGAATTCACATATACCCTATGACGCAGGGCACTCGCGGGTTGTGAAGCGTAATGAAACCATATCACCGCAGTTCCCAAGATCGTGTCCCGCTGAAGAAATGAAAAAGCTTAAGCAAAAACGAAATTGCAGTCCAGTCTGGATAAGAATACCTTTTGAATAAGCATGGCTACATCGAAAAATTAGAGTAAGCGCATATCATTGTGGAAAACTCAGATATATTAAATTCAATACTGTATGTGAATTAAGGTGACTATACCTATTATATGGGCCTATTTTTAGCACAACCTGCTTAATTTCAGGCCATTTTTATACAAGTATGTGATTAATATTTAGATAAGAAAAAATATTATTTAATTTGTAATAATTTTATAAAGCAAATTAATGAATATAGCATAAATATGAAGTTAGTATAAAATTAATAAATTGAGATTTAGATAAAATTGGATAGATTTTATTGACCCATCTCAAAGAAAGCCCCTATCACTATAGCACTAACCCTCTTTCTTGTGCACAAGTGGAATCAAGTCGCTTAAATTATTTCACATTAAAGACCTCATTCCTATGATATGGCATAATTCTTTTTAGGAGAAGCACGTCTTCTATCTTCTACCAGTTTATGCTCAAATAAACATATTTGTCGATTTGATTTATCTTACAATAAGATGTACCACTTAATGGGTTATAGAACAAATAGGTAAAAGATTTTTTCAATTATGGGTTGAGCGCTGTAAACCTTAATTTCTGCGCTAGAAGAACTCTGAAGATTTTTGAAGGCTTACTGATGGTTTTAGTTCATCGGTGTATGGAGTCCACACATACTTCTAATTAAGCCTCCATACTCCATTTTGGTCGCTTCAAGTACCATTATGTTGGACCCAGGACAATGCAAATCATAATCATAATTATTATGTACATTAAAAAAGCTCGATTTTATTTCGAAAAAGTGCTAATTTATTATATTTTTATCAATATTTATAAATAAAAGAGTATGGATGTATATACTTTGTAAAGGAAATTAAAGCATGAATCGTAATTTCGTAATGGCATAGGGAAACACTACTCATGAGCATAGACCTAGTAAATATGTAGGATAGCACACACTGTCAGACCAGAAAATATTTAACAAATCAAAAGTGATATAATTTGATTTAAATGTTGAATTTTTACAGACTAACCTATTGAAGAATGAATAAACCAACTTGGAATAAGTCCAAAATTAAATTTAATATCAAAATTATAACGATCTAAAATGTCGATATTCATCGGGATATTGACCCAGTAAGTAGCCTGAGTGCTTAATTAGCAAGTATATGAGTGTAATCAGTCAACCAGAAAGATAAGAAACGGATCTATCGGACCATGAAAAAGATCGGGATAGGACGTTTGATTCGGATAAGCCGATCGAAAGTGAGGAGGTTGGGGTGAATAACAGGTGTGATATGGCCACATTTTCCAAAAAATGGCACACATTTTGATGAGTGGAATGCAAACAACTGAGAAGTTGTGATAGAGCGGGAGTTTGATAAGCGAGTAAAGAGTAGATAGATAGGCAAGGGCAGAAGAAGGAGTGATAGTGTAACCATTTTCGGCAGAATTTTGGCCGAATAATTGACTTCACTTATTTCTTTTATAAGATTGTATCTTGTATCTTGATGCGGAGAATAGCTGAACTCACGAATGATGCCGACTACGATGCCGGCGAAAAGTTTGAGAATGTACCAAGTCCACTGCCTGATACTGGGAATTATGACAACTACTATGGCAGACGACTTAGAACTAGGTGTGTTCTATTAAGTCAGCATGACAACAAGACCAAGTTACGACAATGAGGTCAACCTACCTTAAGAAATATTTAGCTAATCAAAAGTCATCTGATTTAATTAAAATGTTATAATGTTAATGTCTTATTAACAAATGAATAAACCAACAAGCAAACTTGACATACGTCCAAAGTTAAATTGAATATCAAGGCCATAAAGATTTGAAATTCTGCCATTCATTGCGATATTGACTCAATGAGTAGACTGAGTGCTTTATTAGCAAGTATATGAATTTTACATGCAATCCTTTATTTAACAATAAAATTTACCCCGATTCTCATTTAGTTATATGATTATATTTAAAAATCTACCCTAAAGTTAATAGGCGTTAGACAAAAATAATACGTGCAAGTATAAAACCTGAATGAGAGTGAATATGCTTACATTCATGGTAATATGGGAGTATGGTGCTTTAGTCTGCTAATGTCAACATCCAAGATTAATATTTTATAAATTCCAGCTATCCCGTTATTAACTAGCTTCAATACTCTACATCCCAAGGAGCATCAAACGCAAAAAAATCATTCACATCCATTAAATCATATGCACGAGTTTGTCTTGGACTGTAAAAGTCTTAAATATTTCACAATACTCCGACATTTTTGCTAATCTAAGCAAATTGAATTAAATACTAATAAAAAAATAGTACTCGTTTACAAATACTAATATGAAATTTGCTGTTGAATTTATGATTCACTGAACTAAAATATCTGAATAGTTAGTAAGAAGCAGCATAAATTAACCTGGAACAACTATTAATTATTATGACGTATTTCTACTTACCGTATACCTCCTAAAAGCAAATTTGAATGATATGCTATTTTTAAAAAATCACAGCCTCATACATCATCCATAAGACGAACAGAATTCTAAGAGTGAAAACTATCTGACATAGCTAGTATATTCTCAGGCTCAATGAAAAGATAATCGATTGTATAAGTGATTGATGCACAACCCAATGAAGACTTTGCATTCATTAAATACTGAGCCTTTATTGACTATTCTCTGATTGGTTGGACTGTCCTTCAGTCCTCTGGCTTTCAATTGGTTATTTCTATTGCCACTCTGTAAGGAACCTAAATAAGTAATCAAAAAAAGAGAATTTTTTCATAAAATGTTATGATTTATTAAAGCTTGGAGTAAATTTTATATTTAACATAATTATCGCTCCATCATAATCATTAATGCTTAATCCCTGCATATATGAAGCTCTTGGAATTTATCTTTATTCTTATAAATGAAATTGGTTTAAAATTTACTTATTATAGGGTAGAATAATTATGCGTTTTGGTATTTGCTAGTATTTGAAGGATATTGCAATTCAAATGTAACTAACCATTGATACTTTTCACCAGCACACTACACTGTGGCTGATTTGGCTATTATATTTTATTCTCACCATTAAAGAAACAATAAGTCTCTTGCTTTTAAGATTTTTTAAATATAGTGTTTCGTCCAAAAAATATTAAATTTTTATTTATCTTAAACTAGATAAAGTCAATCATCTGGTTTTTAAGTAACATCTAAATTATTGAGACCCAGTAACAAATATAGCCTACTTGCCATCTAGTTATTTCTTTATTGATATTATTATTATTATTCTTCCATAAAGATACGAAGTCTTCCATTAAAGTCTTTATACATTAGCAAGGTCTTGATTTAACCATAAATGAGCAGAATTAGTGCAATTGAGTAGCAT